TATCGTTCATTTTGATCCAATCCAACAAAAAACAGTTCCAGTGAGAGGAGAGGACATACGTAGATAGGACAGAGAACTGAGAGGTCAGGCGGTCGAAGGAATTGAGAGCAGAATGCGCAAGTGAAGAGAGAGACCGGAAACCAGAAACATCATGCGTTGAAGAGTGGGCAAGCGACAGGAGGAACCAGGCCCGAAATTAAGTGGCCGAGAGAGCCTGAGAGACAGAGGGGCGGCTAAGCGATACCCCCGCGCGTGAGAAGTATTGGCGACACCGACCGAGCCTGACAACACAAGCAAGGAAAGAAAAAATGAATTCATAAATAATCAATGTAGTAGAAAGAATGATTTTTTATCATCATCTGAATGTTCTCAGCTGCTTTTTGGCTGTGTCTACTGCTCCTGTTGTTACAAATGTCCAGTGCAATAAAAAACCAATTTGAAATCTTGTGTCTTCTGATCTGACAACCACAGTGAATAGAAAGAACTGTGATAATAGCTATCAATCGAGTTATGTTGTCACACTACCTCAAACAAGAGGTGTTTTCTCTAATCGCGTTAAACCCGAACTGCATTATTAACTCGACAAGTGGTGATTAATATCGCGTAATTTATCGGTATAATTATTGGACACGGAGTGGACCTGTGGATTTGTTAGCATTGAAGCATGTGCTTGATGGTCGAGGAAGCCGAAACCGTCCCGCGGTTACGTGAACATCCCTACAGCGACGAAGAGTCCAGCAAACCTCTCGCACATAACCATCCCCACGTGGGACTCGAACCTGCGAACACACGCAGAGTAATCAGAGGTGCGGTGGCGAGCGGGTTCCTAATCGTTTAGCACGATGAGCCACACCGGCGCGTTGTTGTTGTTGTTATTTATTTCGAGCCAATATCAGCTCAAATAATCTTCGCAAAACACATTGCTGCGAGCGTTTCTATAACCGCATGCGTATGTGTTTTTCGAAAACAAATATATAAATATCCCCAATAGTAGGTATTAATTGAAACTTCAGCGAAAACAACAGGAAATGCCAAGGTTTGAGAAACGTCATACCAGAAATATTTTTTTATAGAAGTCTCGCGCAGGATAATCAAGAAGTCCGAATCAAAATTACTGTCGGTTTCTCACATTAGAGACCGCTTGTCTCGAGTTCTGTCCGGAGTAAAGGTGCGATAACATCGTGAAATAAAATATAGGTAACAACATGCGAGAAATATGCTCAATTGTGCATTATAAACAATGTAATCGCTGACCGGTTACAGTATCTTTCACCATCCGATTAACTGATAACAATTATTACTAAATCCGTTGTATATTGGCATCTAAAAACGCCGTGTCCATTGTTCCCTTCGTTTTAGGTTAGATAGATATAAAACCTTTGGCAATTGGTTAAAGTAAACATATGAAGTGGAATTCATGCCATGTCCTGGGCTAGATAAAAGTATGTACTGCTAGCCCCCCCCCCCCCCCCCCTGAATAAATAAGAAGAAATAGGATATTCATACTTATCCCGGATTGATAAAGACAATGGGAATCCTAATTACATGGGAAATAAACCATGGCCTCTCGTCCGGTTACCAGTTCATATTGTGCTACTTAAAAATTTAGCCAGTATTTGTTGCAGATACAGTACATGAGATTTGATGGCGATTATGGTAGTGACTTTGCCACGACTGAAAGTCCAGCTATCTTATCGTAAATGATTAATCCCACATGTTATTTGAACACACGCAGGATAATCATAGATGAGATAGCGACCATGCTCTTTAATTGGAAACGGATACTGTAACCGCATTGTTCGCTTGCCCCCCTCGGGATGAAAATGAATGAATCCAATCCTAATTTCACGGAAAAAAAATAAAAATAATTCAACATTATACAAGCAGATATGTTTAATTCAAATGTTACATTCATTCCATACCAACCAAAAATAATGACATAAAACTGTCATTGTAAAATAATCAAAATACTGTACCGAGGTCCCGTTGATTTTGGTTCTGAAGTCAGTTCTCAATATATCATACCACGATTGTTTTATTTAATCAGTGTTTGGGTGAGCACACCCTGTATATTGAAATTCCGGCGCTCCGGGAGTATGTGTACCAAGATGACTTTGGGAGCACCGAAATCTGTAATACAAAATTAGTTGAACGGTTAAACCAGTGGTGTTCAACTCGCAGGCCAAATGCGGCCCACAAGGAAACATTGTGCAGCCCGCGGAAGAGAAGCCTATTTTGAATGGTGTGCGACTAGCAAACGAGTTTTTACTTTTGTCTAATCTAGTATGTGTGAGTATTTCTAATTCCTTTGCGTTGCAAATCCTATACTTGAGGTCGTGTAACAACACATGTCATAGGATCAAAAACCAAAATTTTTGTGCTTGCAACTACTTGAAAGCCTATGATAATGAAGGTGCGGCCCGCGGTTTCCCCCAGTTATTTGCATCTGGCCCTCCTGTATTAACGGTTGCGCACCTCCGGGCTTAATCATTTACAGCATCTGTAGCATTTAAATTTTCGCTTCCAAGAACCTTATTAAACACAGAGCCATGACATTTCTTTATCATCAGCATTTATTCATTTAATAGATCCCAAACTTAGCACACCCAAGCAAAAATGATGATCTAAAAATGTCAATATACATAACCAAAAAGCATTGAAATTAAAAACAGATAAATTTGGTAAAAGGCGATTCTAACAGTTCCAATACCATCAGAATTTTTCAGAAAATAACATCCATGCAAATATGAAGCCAATATATTTGAAATAATAAACAATATTATTTCTGACCGTTAACCATGAAAACTTGGTTCAACAGTTTACCATTCATAAAATTTATAACAATGAAATTTGGTTATCAATTACCGTTTACAGTATCTAAGACATTTTGAGTTTCCAAAACTGAACATTTGCACTACACGAAAAAATAATGAATTATCAGGATTTGTACCCTTTAACCAGAAAAATTTGGTTATCGGTTAACCATGTACAATATATTTAACATTAAAATGTGTCAAACCTAAAATGTACAGATAAACGATAATTCACCATAAATTTTAATTGTTAACCACAGAAATGTGGTTAATGGTTTAACCATTTACAGCATTAAAAGTTGTTAAAATTAAAAACCATGGAAAATTTCTATTTGACCAGATTTTGTACCCAATAACCATAAAAATTTGGTTAACGGTTCAACCATTCCTAACTCTAGTGAATGTGCTGCTCAAAATTTTAGTGAACTCTATCCATGAAAACTTGAGTAATGCTTAACCAGTAAAATTTGATTAAAGATTAAACCATTTACAACAATTAAAACATTAGAAAAGGAAAAATTACTTAGTAACAGCATTTGTAACCGTTAGCCATGTAAATTCGGTTAACGGTTTAACCATTACCAAGCCTATTAATGTCAACATAATATGTTGTCACATCAACACAAAGTAATAATAGTATCTCATATTTGAGACAAATAGCAGAATAGCACAAGAATTTTTCACAAAAGAAAATTGAATTCAAGGCAAAACAGTGTAAACGCTTCATTTACAATTTCATTCAACATACAGTGACAAAAGTAGAACTGAGTAATTGAACTGTGGCAAGGAAAATTAAAAACCTGAACATCAGGCAAGAAATTGTGTATGCTCCAGTGAGAGGATTGGGTATATCAGGGGTGTGCAATAGGCGAACCGCAGGCCACCAACTCGGCCCACCAAGCCTTTAGGTGTTGCCCTTGTCCCCATCAAGCATAAAATCCAGGTAATGATTAATAAAAAGGTGTGGGTAAACAGTATTCTATATACAACGTAAAAATGGCATTTCAGGGCGAAGGGGTCATGAAAATGGGTGAAATTACATATCATTTTTTTGCCTAGTGCCTTCAAGATATAACAAAATTCCGAGTTGATAATAATTACATAGAAGCCAAAATAGATACATTATTGATCAACAGAGATAGCTAGGAAGTGGGCACTTTAATCATTGGGTTCAACTCCACTCAACATGAGTAAGCTTTGAGTCAACTTGACTATTTTGCTCAAAGTACCCACTCCCAGAGTTCTAGCTGTCTCTTTCTGAGTAGGCCTCAGTGGCTTATCTAGACTTAGAGTATGGCAGCCATAGGCGGCGTTAGGTAAGCGGCACAAAAAGTTTTAATAGTAAAATGTTTCAATAGAATCATTTCAAATTGAAATCAATTCAAACTCACATTTTTACCTAAATATTAACATACGAATATCTCAATTCAACAACAGTTATTAAAAATTTTCAGGTAACGATCAAGTGGGGCGCATTTCAAACGTTACCAGGAGCGCCATTTTACGTAAAAACGACACTGGTCTCACTAATTAAAAAGCACATTTTTTACTGTTAAAAGACAGTTTCAATATTATAATTCCATAAAGAATAAAGCTTAAACATAAACCACAGTAAGTTTTTACAAGGATTCTTGAGGCAGCGCTAGTTACTGTGTATTTAACGACTGGATTGTGTATATATAGAGATATAGCTAAAAAAACTAGCTTTTAAGAAATATTATAGGAATCTGAAAACGGCAATGTACAGTATATTTTAAACGAGGCTTGACTAACATGCAAATTCTGACATTCTATGCTTCTGGAATAAAGATAAATTAAAACTTTCCAAAATAAGCACACAAAAATGTGGGACAGAAAACACAGCTACAAAAGTAATATAGTAGCAATATTGAACAAGCAGGGAACTCATATTCACAGATAAAGAGAATCAAAAATCTAATAAGTCACACAAAATAGGTTGTAAGAGATTTTGTTACACTAACCTCTTCTTGACACAGTATTCATTGAAGCGGAAATTAGCAACATTATCAATTGCCAGTTTTTAATGAAATGTTTCTGACTAGTTATGTCTGCTTCATTACCTTTCAGTGATAATAGTTAAAGTATACAGAAAGTATAGCAAGAACCAGCAGATAAACGAAAAAATATGCAAATGTTGCAGCATCACCAAATGCCAGTTTGAATAAGATAATTCTGATTGGTTATGCTTCATTAATTTAAAAAAAAAAGAGCAAGAACTAGCAAATGAATGGAAAAGATTATACAAATGACTAAAGAACATGGCAAAACATAGCATCACATAAAATAATAAGTACGGTAAGTTACATTTAATAAGGTAGTTTGAACACAAACCTTTTTTAGAGATTTAATTGTTACTCGGTTCCATTACATTTGAACCCACGACAATTGCACCTGCATACTATTGCACCCATGGAAATTAGTTATTTTACAGATATTTGAACCCATACTAACCCTAACCCATGGATTTTAGCACCCTCATATAGAATGAACCCGCGAATATACTGGTGCAAATGTATGGGTTCAAATGTACGTGGGTTCAAGTGTACGATCACCTTGTTACTCCGTTAGCAAAGTTGATGGTGCTTTAAAGTTTATTGATGAGCCCTAAAGGCATATTTTTTTAAAGAAATCTAAAGTACGTTTGGTATGTATTAAATGAAAATAATGATATAAGAAATTGAACAAAATGAAATGAAATTATTTTTGTCACTTCACAGCGATTTACTAAGTTGGCATATTTGCTACAAGTATATTTTATCAAATATTATCTGAAATTCTGATAATTATAAATTAGAATCAGGTATTATGTGTTATTGCCCAGCTAATATTTTTCAAATCTTCATTCTCTGATTCTGTTCCAAGGTTACCATATAACAGTTTTGAAACAAACAAAAAAGTTGCAAAACCGAAGAGTCAGTTTATACAACCTAACTCTCATCGTAGTAAAAATTCGGCATATACGTGTCTAACTTTGTCAAACGAAATGACATTACCCTAACTCAAAGAGTTTAATGCATACACACAAAGTAGTGCTTGGTACGCTGTAACAGATATACCGGTATGTGATCGGTTGTCATACACATACGGCGTGTTACGATTTGTAGTGTCGGCTCATATGCGAATTTTCAAAAATTCACCGAATTTAGGGTCGTTTTTAAGGGTCTCTGGCTTTCTGCTTATATGCAAGGATGTATGGTAGATCAGAAAGAGAACATAAGACGAAGAGAAAAAGATGGGAGGGCAGCAACTTAAACTAACTCTTCATAATATAAGATGAACATAATCAAAGTAAATCAATGTTGGAGCAATAAAAAGATGGTACTTATAGAAATTCAGATTCAAATTTGGCAACCTTATTTGAGGTATATAAAGCAGCTTGGAAGAATCAGAATTAAGTTCACAAAAGATGTTTAGATTTGAACAAAGACTGGTTTCCAAGTAAGTTTCAATAATAAACTAAGTTAAATTAAACATTAATAACTTTAAGAATAAAATCCGGACCCAAACATCAAAATGCACTACAAAAAAACAGCAAATTTATTACGATCATTTGTTTATCTCTTTCCAAGCACATTTATATTCTAAATAAAAAAAGTTGCTTCAGAGGGGTATCACAACGACAATAAAATATTAGGGCTCCCGAAGAGCTACCATGATATAAAACTTAGAGCATGTAAGTCAAAATGGCCAGTAAAAGACAATAGTAGTGAATTCCGGTTAACCGAAGTTTTAGAAATATATAACTTTAGGTACCTATATATATAAGGATTTCAGCAAATATCAATTGGCAAACAACTTAAAGTAGTTAAAAGTCGAAATGATCCGTAAAATACAAAAGTAGCACGCAGTTCCAGTTAATCGAAAAATTTCAAGAAATATGTTCAGGCACTAAAACCTAAAACTTTCAGATTGCAGGTCGATACGTTTAAGACGCAGATAAACATCAGTACCATAACCTTGCATACTTTGCACCACAAGACTCCCACCCATGTATTCCGCATAACAGCGAGACATTGGCAATCCAAATCCATGGCCGTGCATTTTGCTGTTTCCATTCGGACCTTGATTGGCCATGGACATCATGTCACCCATTGGGTTACTTTCCGAATTAGTTGTCTCATTCGCTGTCGTGAAATTATATTCAAGAACTTTGTCGATTACTTCATGGGGAATACCCCCTCCTCTGTCAGATATTTTTATGATGAAATCTTGATGGTTATTGACGATCGTGACAATGATATCTGGTAAGCCGTTTCCATATGACGACGAATGGTGCTCTACGCTGAATCTCATCGCGTTTTTCAACAGCTCGCAAATGATATAATCAAATGGTATCGGAATATATGGGAAATGAGCTTGAATGTGTCCACACATCCTTACTTTTGGTGCTTTACCATACTCATACTCGCACATTTTTGTCGTGAAATTTGTGAACTTTTCGATCGATTTTGCGGGGTAAAATTTTGTGTGTATCATGCCAATATGGTCTTCTTCTTTTCTGTGCAATAAAATATGGTGCATGGCAAGCATTCTGATCGCTAGGCGTGACGACAGCATGCGATCCAAAAATTTTCTTGCCATATGAGCTCCAAGCATTTCTTCGTTAAGATGTTTGTGACATTGTCGAAACCCAGTTGCCAGATCTTTTATTACAGTGCTATGGTCGTCGAGTAACCTTTCAAGCAATACAGCATATTCTTTTACATCCTCTGCTGTTTTAATTGCTTGGAAGTTGTGTAATTGTTTGAATGATTGAATATATAAATCGTGGACACGCAAGATTACAGGATTGCATCCCATGATAAATGGAAGTCCGTGAAACGACTTGATGCGATGTGCAACACGAACTGGTAGTTCTTTGTGTAAATATTGTGCACTTTTTAAAAGATATTTGTCCAAATGGTGAGAATCACCAGAGTAGAGAATCATCCACGGAGTCAAACGAACAGACTTTTGTTCAGCAACATGCTCAATTTCACTCTGATTGTAATAAGCTGCAACAGCTCTTGCTCGCTCCCTCGCCTCTTGTGAATATTCGTGTTTATTTCTAAGTTGTGATATGCAAAGTTTTTCCTGTGCTCTTGCTAAATTACGGCTCCAATGTGTTAAGCGTGTTCCAGCCATCGCGGACGACGGACGTAAAGTAATAAAACCACCGAATTGTGTAAGTCAGCGCTAAAATACACTCTATCTGTGCTGTTCTTTCGTTTAATGGTGAAAGTGTTTATGATTAAATTTCCCTTTTTCATTCCATGTTTTTCCCTCGCGCTGCACAGGCGCTTTGTCCCGTCCCGAAAGCGAAACTCGACAAGAAGCCTCAACGATCTGCAGAAAGGCAGTTTCTCCCATCAAACATCATAAAATGTGCGTCAAATGGGCGTCGTTGAAAGGAAAAGCTTGTACACATCGATAGTTTACTCGTAAATAAATCCTCGATAACGAAATTTGATTTATTTGGAACGATCAGTAATTTTATTACCCATAAAAGCATTTTACTCTTACATATAGGTTGAAAGAATTGTCTCAAACCATTTTAAAATGATTTATTGTTTTCGAACAAAGATTCCAAGGGTCAAAGGTCTGTTTGCTTCTGAAAGGACTTGACCCGTGTACAGATGATTAGGAGCGGTATATAGAGGACTTGCACGGGTCACGTGACTTTGTTACTGGACGGCAATAAATCAAAAACGTCCATTTGGCTCCTGTCAGTGGCAAGTCGGATTATACGTTTCCGTTTTGTTTGGCTGTTGAAATGGTTATTTCGTATTGTTCCGTTGGCTGTACGTATAGTATAGACAACGAAATGGATCTTAAGTTTTATTCCACTGATTACAAAAGATCCGGAACGTCGCGCAATGTGGAAGTCCAGAAGCCATCTCACTTGTGTTTCACTGTTTGCGGACAGCACCTCGTTGATGGTGAGTGATAATGTGGTTGGTGATAGTGTGCCGTTATCAGTTTCTTTAAATATTCACAAGCTCCCTCATTTCAATGGAAAGCAGATGACAAACCACTGTTATTAGAAGGCCTAGGCGTGGGCCTACTTGCAGTTGCAGACTTGACTTGTGTAAGACAGTAAGGAATTAATAATCAATTGCTATAAGGTATTGTTTCCCTAATTAGCAGGTAATCTATTACTGAGTGTGAAAGCTGGAATAGATAACTAAAGTTTAACACCATGGGGCCTGGAATACGCTCGCCACCGCATCTCTGATCACCCTGGTAGTTTCACAGGTTTCAATCCCATGCGGGGATAGTTATGTGCGAGAGGATTGCAGCTCTACTCCCACCGAGGGTGGTTCACATGACCGCTGATCGGTTACGACCACCCCCCCCCCCCATTTATTGATGCTTATCGTAATGACAAAGTAACTTGTGATTACTGTGGATTGGTGGAGATAAAGTGTCCATGGTGCTTTTACGAAAGCCACTTCAAGACGACCCTATCATAAAAAAAATTGTTTCGATGGATCTGGTAGTGAAGGTTTCAGTCTAAAGTTGAACACCGATACTACAACCAGATACAGTTGCCAATGCAACTTAGCGAGGCGTAATATTGTGACTTTGTGATCTGAAAGGAAATTCTGATGGGTAGCCGGCTAGCCGCAACCTTTTGTTTAAAGAATATTATGAGATATGACTTAAGAGTCTAAACTTTTATTTGAGAGGGGTGTAACCCAAGCTAATTTGCAAATGGCATTCATGGTACCAAATGTATCACACACTTTACAGTAATTATAAATTATATTTGAAAAATAAAGCACATCAAAAATGTATTTTTAAAAAACAATTGGTTTTATCTGCAGATACTAGGTTGATATTGAGATTGACCATTTCAATGCTAAATTTTCTTTAGTCAAAAGGCACACGTGATTCGCAAAGATTTGTGAATGCGCACAGTACACCAATTTGTCTAATGTTTTGATTCCATAGGCAGGAGGTTGTGGATCGGTGCTGCTCAGGATGGGATATTTTTGCCTATAAATGCATATTACGTGTTTCACATGAATCCATCGTGCTCAGATTCGACTGTTTTCAAGGTCTGAAGGCTCCAACAGCCTAATTTTATCGGTACACAGGAGAATTTTCAGTGTGGCATGCATGGGTCAGTTGGAGTCACTGACCTCAAGATATCTATAAGCAAGGATAAGATAACCTGGAAGTATCATTCCATAATTTAGAGTAAAAAATGTATCTGCCTCCACAGCTCTTTCAAATAGAAGATATGATGCCTCGGGGTAATTTCTATCAAATATTTTACAGTATTATGGTTCTAGTGAAAAGGGGTGTAGGCGGCTTCTTTTAACGTGTGGTAGGTCTAGTCAAAAGACACATTAAATGTTTATGCTAACAACTGCAAAGTAATATTGCAACGCATACAAGTTAACAGAATTTGTTGAAATGGTCCTGCCTTTTGCCTTTCTTTAAAATCCCCCTTTTTCTAACTATTCTCTTCCTCTCTGGAGATGGCGAAAATTCAAATATCGATGGGACATATAAGCAGCTGATAATGGGTTATCTTCCCTTTTTCCTGAAAATAAATTAAACACTAATCATCATTTGACAGTGCCAAGTTTGTGTTTCAGATCAGTAATAAATTACCTGCTAACTAATAAAACAATCAGACAACACCTTCTGACCATTAATGAAGATTACTAAAACGCAACTATGCCTACCAATGTGGGTAGTTTTCAGGATAGAATTTATCTGTGGTTGGGGACAGATTGCAAAGTGCAACATCGTACGATTACCGTTCTATGTCGGGATTAGTTAGCCAGTTATTTGTTTTAGAAGCATGGACTTGGTGGTGGGGGATGTCGTAATCGACCAGCGGTCGTGTGAACCACCTTCAGTAGGAGGAGAGCTGCAACATAACTATTCCCGCATGGGATTGAAACCTGTGAAACTACCAGGGGGATCAGGCATGCGGTGGCGAGCGTATTCTTAAATGGAGAATTCAAACTTTATTTATCTATTCAACTTTTCACACTTACTAATAGATTACCTGCTAACTAGCGAAACAATACCTTATGGCAATTATTGATTAATACCTTACACGAGTCAAGTCTGCAAGTAAGCCTACCAATAACAGTAGTTTGTCATCTGCTTTCCATTGAAATGAGGAAGCTTATGAATATTTAAAAAAAATTGATAACAGCACATCATGACTCACCATCAACGAAGTGCTGTCCGCAAACAGTGAAACACAAGTGAGATGGCTTCTGGACTTGACACATAGCAGTCCTGCCAATAGATGATATCCACACTGCGCGACGTTCCTGATCTTTTGAAAACAGTGGAATATAACTGAAGATCTATTTCGTTGTCTATACTATACGTACAGCCAGCGGAACAATACGAAATAACCATTTTCAACAGCCAAACAAAACGGAAACGTATGATCCGACTTGCAACTGACAGGAGCCAAATGGACGTTTTTGTTTTATTGCCGTCCAGTAAACAAGGTCACGTGACCCGTGCAAGTCCTCTATATTGCGATGTACAATAAATCGCAAAATCAAGAGTTCACACAAACACATAAAAACCTTTTTTTTTAGTTTATATTATAATTGATTTATTTTATTTTATATTATATTTGATTTATTTTATTTTATACTTATCAGAAGGGGTGCATGCCGCACATTCGTGTGTTTTGGGCCAGTATGGTTTTGTCAGTCAGTAATCAGTAATCAGTAATTTATTTCTTCACCAAGCTGAAAGTACGAATTATACATACACAAATAAAGGAAATATAAAAGACCGCATTCCAATATTGTCTCTTGTGCATCATCCCGTCTTCAGTGTTTGTAATTACTAACTCTTTTATATTAATTTCACGGAACGAACAAACATACATACATACATTTCAAGCAATAGCACCACATATTTACTCAAATTACCAATAACCGCATAATGGCAAAGGCCGTAATTGCAATATCGTCACGCCCAACTGCGCTCCATAAATAAACAAGGCCCGTTTCGTGTATCCAAGGAAACCGACGCCAGCTGACAGTTCGGGTTCGAATTCTATTTATTTTATTCTGTTATTCTGTAGCCTTATATTCAGAGATAGTCATGTTGAAATGGATTTACATAAATTCAGTTTCATATTTAGTGTGAAAAGAACCAAATATGCGAAATTCACCGCTTAGTTTTAGCTCTGTCTGTCTGTGAACTGGTGAACCACGCCGTACGTCAGACTTAGGTGCCTAGTTTAACCTCCAAACTTTATCAGTTTATTCTAATTTATTATATAATTCTACTGGTATACCGGTATACAATTTTATAATATACTTTTGAGAAATCAGTTTTATACATTCTTGCTATCTGCTAACTTTGTTAGTAATGAATTCTAGGGAGAAATGAAATGCCATTATCTGATTATGGTAAATGTAGACTAACTGTAAGTCAATGTGCAGATATTGGAATATTTTATAACATATAGGGTACACTGGATAAATATTAAAATGAGCTATTGTTCAAACTGTAAGTAAAGCGGTAGGCTATTCAAGTTGTAGCAGTAAACATAAAATGAATTTAGATTAATAAAATACATTTAAAAAGAGACAGCAAATTATTGAGGTACCATAATTTAATATTTTATAGCAAGTGGATGATATCAATATTCTAGAGATATTCATATCTTATATGCTCTTGCAGCTGGGTAGTATTATTCATTACATTCAGTAATTATTTGAATTAGCATAAAAAATATAGCTCCTCAACCTTTCTTGTGAAATAAGAAAGCGCTTTTATGTTTCTTCGAGAATATTCTGTCCAAAAATCATGCATAAAAGATTCTCTTTATTGAGGGAGGTTGAATTGTATGGGTGCATGTCACACGTTTGGGTTTAGGGTATTCTAGTATAGTCCTGTACATGCATCCCAAGTAGTATTCTTACAAAACCAAAATCATTAGCGCAAGTTATCTCTATATTATTCACCATTATGGGACGAATAACCTATACTTACTTGGGTTGAAACAAACCAAATTCATTAATTTGAAATTTCCTTCTATCAAGGTGATTGGTTGATTTTAGAAAAACGAATGGAATAATCATAGAGCAATATGGCTGCTGAATTTAGATGTGGTGGGCTATTATTCACTTCAAAATTTGATTCCGGAAATCTGGCTGGCGTTGAAAAAGTTGAACGCTCGGATAGCGACAGTGACGGAGCACCTAATGATCCTTATGGAATCAGAGTTATCCCAGATTATGAGTTCAACGTCTGGACAAAACCGGATTGCGGCGGAACACCGTATGAGAATGGAAACCGTTCATGGTTTTATTTTGGTATTCGGGGAAATACTCCAAATAAAGTGATAAAAATAAATATTGTGAATTTAAATAGACAAGGGAAGTTATACAGTCAAGGAATGTCTCCTATGGTGAAAGTCTTACCCTCAAAACCAAAATGGGAGAGAATACGTGACAGAGCAACATACCAAATGGTTGATGGACAATTTACATTATCATTTACTTATAGATTCTCAGACCATAAAGGCGGGACAACTTATTTTGCATTCTGTTTTCCATGGTCTTATGCAGAAAGCCAAGACCAACTCGAAAAATTAGACGAAACCTTTCCTGGCTGTGCTGAAATACGACCAGGACAACTTCCCGATAGTGCTGTATACTACCACCGAGAAGTTGCTTGTTTCTCTCTAGACAAAAGAAAAATTGACGTTCTGACGATAACATCATGTAAGGGAATGTTATCAGAGCGTGAACCGCGACTTGAGAATCTTTTTCCCGATAAAAGCGTCCCTCGGCCTCATAAATTTTCAAATAAACGAGTTTACTATGTGAGCAGTCGTGTGCATCCTGGTGAGACGCCTGCTAGTTTTGTTTTTAACGGTTTTCTCGAGTTTGCTCTTCGAGAAAACGACGCTCGTGCACAAGTTCTGCGAGACAGATATGTTATAAAGATGATTCCTATGTTGAACCCTGATGGTGTGTATCGAGGACATTATCGAACTGATCAAAGGGGGGTGAATTTAAATCGACTTTACCTGATGCCAGATTTTAGAGACCATCCTTCAATTTATGCCACACGTTCTTTATTATTATTTTATCATCACTATTACCAATATAAGGATCAAAATAACAACAAAACCATGACAAATCAAAATGGAAATGGTGACACTGCAGAAAATAGCAATGACTCGGATGTTTCAGAAAAACAAATTAGCAGTGACTCATCAGAAACTGAAATTGGGAAACAAAAATCTAAAGACAGTATAATGTCGATGTGTTTCGGAAAGAGAAAGGACTCAATAAAAGAAGCAAAATTTGTTCCTTTTCAAGGAGATTATTTAGGCATACCACCACGAGAAAGTGGGATTGCGTTTTATGTAGATTTACACGGTCATGCCTCGAAAAGAGGATGCTTTATTTATGGAAACCACTTAGAAATTGAAGAGGACCAAGTAGATAATTTACTTTTTCCTAAACTAATTTCCCTAAACAGTGCTCATTTTGATTTCAATGGATGCAATTTTACGGAACGCAACATGTATCTTAAAGATAAGCGAGATGGAATGTCCAAAGAAGGATCAGGCCGAGTTGCGATTTTCAAAACAACTGGGATTATACATAGTTATACTTTGGAGTGTAATTATAACACAGGTAGAACTGTGAATTGTATTGCTTCGACTGTGCCTAATGGAAAAGCTACGCCTCCTCCCCCAGCTGGTTTCCCGCCTAAATATACACCAGAAATTTTTGAAGGCGTTGGACGTGCAATGGCGATTGCTGCATTGGATTTTTATGGCTGCAATCCATGGTCAAGGTTAAAGCATTCCGAGTTTACATCGCTTGAAAATTTAAGAAATTGGATGACTAGATACGTTAGGAGCTCGCGAGGAAACCCGATACTGCCAAGAAAAATGACTACAAGAATCCCAATTACCAACTCTAACCTTTCAACCAACATAAATTCTAACGGCACAACAAATGGCACTGCTAGACCAGCAAATAATAGGTTTTCTGGAAGTTCAGATTCAAGGAAAAATGCAGTTTCAACATACAGAAATGGTCCGAATAGTAACGGAAGTTCCAATGGATCAAATGGTACAAAAAGAGTTGTGGCCACAACTAAAAATCAGCTTTCCCCATTCAAATCAATGTCTACTCCATCTGTAAGCAATATCCCGGGAACAAATCGGTTCACAAATCGCCAGAAAACGTTAATCCGAGTTACCGTGAATAATAATGGAAGAACTGTAAAAACCACTCAAGAACAACCAACACATATAAAATCATCAAAATCATTACAGCCTTGTCAAAAAAGCAAAATGACGCAAGAAACTCCAGTCACACTGTCTTTTACCACAATGAATGCTGGTTTAAAAAATTCTATAATACCCAGTCCTGCAGCTTTGCCAAACGTTATCGAAAGCCTCGGACCTGAAATCGATGAGCGACTTCTGATCTGTTTGAGGGCACTAGAGAGCCCTAGTTTTCCACACTCCGTAGATGGATCAACTATGCTGCCATATACTCCTCCGAATCTGAATTCATCATTACAAAATGGACATTTGGCGTCTATGACCCCCCCTTTACATCATCGCAGCTTACCTCAACATATTAGGAACGACAGTATTATACAAAGTCTTACACAAGAATACAATATGAACAATTTGGAACTGCCAGCTGGTGACACTAGAGGGCTGAACCACTACGCAAAACAAGCAAATTATCTGCTAGGTAGAGCACAAAATTTTGGACACGTTGGGGCTCAAAAACAGAACCTGTCTCAAAATAAACAACAATACCCAAGGCTACGAGAATCAGGCTTCATTAGCCCGCAAGTTTGTAAACCTCCTTCTTTTATAGGAAGAGGGAAGAGTGCTTTGTCAATGGAAGCCCCAATGAGTCATGTTGCGAGCAACAAAATTACACCTACGAGTTCCGATCGTATTACTTTATCTACCGGTAACATCCCTTCTTCGAGCTCTTTTCATAATAATGGCCAAGTTGCGCAACCAGTGGTTCTGACTATAGATGGCGCTGAAAAACATCTACCTCTTACTGTTACTCGTAAACCGATCATTCATCCGAAAGATGAAAACGCAAATTTTATGCTAAAAATGAACGGCGATGTATATAACCCCACAACACGGCCCCCGATTGTACATTTCAAACCAAACGGAGGTTTATTGCCAGAAAAAATCGGAGATGAGAGATTACAAAAAACTCCTACTCCGAGTAAACGAGTCAGCAAGCTAAGACAACCGAGAAAAATAGGATCGGGAAAGCGTGAAGTCACTCGCCGAGGGAGTGGTTCTCAACTCAGCGCAAAATCAGGGATAGATAAGGAAATGCGATATCTGAGAACACCTAAATCTGGCAGAAATTCTCGTAATGGAAACATTACTGGTCCAATGCTTTCAGGTGAAGCAGTACAACTTACTCCTCGAGTGCAGAAAACTGTCATTGACGATAGTATCGATAGTTCAAGAGTCATTCCGACAATGTTCACTGATGCGGAAAGTTTATCTCAAATGAACATAAACACAACTTCACCAACTGCGATTAACGCTAGCATAATGATGATGAACTGCAGTCCGAAAGGAGATGAAGTTTGACCTTCAACTTTTATAATGACCTTCATTTCCAGGAAGTTAATTTTCAAACTTCATTCGACCTTTGACCCAAGGGTATAGAAGTAAAAAAGAGCAAAGTGTTAAATTTTTCATATAGTCTGTATTGTGTTTGTTCTTCATGCATATTATTCCACTGATATATTCGTACGCCACTGTGTCTTTTATCAATGATTTTATGGAAATTCATTATATTTAGCTGTTTTCTTGACAGTATAGTCTTGAAATGTTTCTAGTCTTGTGTCAACCGCTTTCCAATGATATTTCTATGACCCTATTCACAATCTAATTAACCTACATGAAGTTCTTTCCATGTCGGTGATGGCTTGAAGATCTTTTATTATTAATATTTTTCCCAGTTTTAGATGAAGGGGCCTGAGACCTTGTTATGAGCAAATTTGCAGAAAAAGTAATATAATTATTTGGAAACGGCTGTCTTGTTGTCTCTTTTAAATTCTTGTGATCATAATATGTATATCTGTAACATTTTTGTCATCTAAATTCCATGATGTAAAACAAAGCTTCCCAAACTTTTCAGCTAGCGAACCCTTCCAATATATTACGATTCTCCGCAACCCTTCTCATGTTTAAAATGGTAAACAGTTTGAAATATTTATTTTTAATATTTTATTGACACACCTACTTCTCGGATGTTACAATAAAAGTAGGATAGGATAGGATTTACATATTTATCCCGGGGGAGAGGAAAGCCGATAAGACGGCTTATCCATATGGCGAACCACGGCCTCTCGTCCGGTTACCATTCCAAGTCGGGTATGGGATTAGTTATAATGTATTGTTTATTTTCAGAAGCATGGACTTGGTGGTGGAGGAAGCCGTAACCGACCAGCGGATACGTGAACCACCCAACGACGGTGAGGGGTCCAGCAATCCTCTCGCACATAACCATCCCTGCATGGGATTCGAACCTGCGAACCCACGCAGAGTAATTACAGGTGCGGTGGCGAGCGTATTCCTAACGCTTAGCCCGTTGAGCCACACCGCCGCGCCAAAGTTGGGATTGATATGTGAGCGCACCTCTTCTCCGATGTTTTGCACTATAGTATATGTTAATAATTGTGTTTCTAATTAAAAGTACACCTGATATAGTACTTTGTGTGAAATTTTGTGTTCTCTTTGCTGCCCCTAAAATTTGTTGTCTGCCCCCTGCTTGTCCGCGACCCCCAGTTTGGGAAACCCTGATTCAAAAAATGCTTTTAAAAATATATTTTGAATTTTTTTTTATCAGTCATCTTGGCAGTAAGATCATTTTATTGTATCGTTTGTGAAATGGCACGATTCAAAATGCTGAATCAGTGGTTCCTGGACTTTTTTAAGTCGCCGAATTTATCCAAATAAATTCGGCAGAATCTTTGGACATCCTGTATACTAAATTGGTTTATGTTTAAAATAGAATAGATATGAAATCTAATGTATGTATATTTGATATTTCATATTCAAAATGATTGATGGAAATTTTCATGTACTTTGAACAGTGGATTCATAGGAATTTTCCTAATTGAACCATAAACAATGTTATTCACTAATTTTATCATTCACTATTTATCATTTTGATCCCTTGATGTAAAGTAGGCGAACAAAATTAGTTACCTCTATATTGGTACACAACTACACACTCTTCTGGAGCGCCAGTTTTATCATTTTATTAGTGAAGTTACTTTCATAATGAGTAGATCAATATGCTGTTGAATGTATTTGCTGCCTAACTATGCTTTCTGATAAATGAGCTTCATTTGCATTGGCTTTTAGTTTTTTGACATTTTTTATATTCATTAAATATTGATTTTTACTTTCTTTGGTTACTTAGATGCTCAAATAAGAATGACTTTTTGTGAGTTTTAATAGTACAAGGATTGGATAATTGTGTGAAAAATTTACTTTCAATTTTGAGAAGTCTCTTTTTCAGTATTTTAGGTAAATATTAGGCGCTTTCTTAATGAGCTTGGCCTCATATGTATTTGATTTTTAAACTTCTGTATTTTCTTTATTGAAATATTTTAACCTATATGGCCTTAAGCTATAAATAAGTACCGGCTTTTTTTTGTAATATTTTGAGATAATTTTCTTGTCAAAATCTCCATATTCACTTTTTTGTCTTGAAACTCAAAAACTGTTTCCTTATATTATATTTTATTTTCATATAATCGTCTGTTCCACGATTTTTTTTTATTCTATATTGAGCACTCAAAATTTATCTTATATTTGATCATAAGCTTATTAAATATTTGTTCAGGTGCTCAATGGGTACTCCTGTAGCATGTGTACCAGGTTAGGCGATAATTTCATCCCGATTTTCCTTATTTTAGTTTTATTACGAGTTCGGAGACTGTCTGTGTTAGCCAAGTGAATAACCCCTGCCCATAGGCTTTCAGTCCCTTTACACAACTTGATGTAAAAAAGGCGAACAAAATTAGTTACCTCCATATTGGTACACACACACTTCTAGAGGGCCGCTTAATGTACTTTCTACACAATGATTTTCCATGTCTTGTCCCTGTTTGAGCGACCAAGATAGGTAAGGATCTACCATACCTTTCCACTTCTGCATTGTCCACCCAATTTGTTACATCCTGGGGGAGGTGTTGTATACGTGGGTTAAACCCAAAATCCATAACCTGAAATTCCAATTTGTTAAAATTTCAAAATAATAACAGAATTATCATGTATATGGTATTACTATACTAGTATATTGATGTGAATGTAGGATCCCCCCCCCCATGTTTCTGCCTCCATTGCGTTATTGTAGTGTCAAATTTTGATGCTATCTATCATATTGTCATTATATCGATTAATGTCCACCCTTCTTGAGATCTGAGATACATCAATAATGATATGTGTTAAACGTAATTCCTTAAATAATCACAATAGTGTATTTGATATCTTTTAATTAAAAAAAGATATCGGAATGGATGATACGACAGAAGAAGTTAGTTCGCTTTATGCTTGGTATCTTACCAATTTTTTAATAAAAGATAAAAAATAAACTAAAAACAATGCAGGTTAAAAAACAACAAAACAAAAACTCAAGTATGTATTTTAAAATAACCACATCAAATAATTCAAGTCATTTAAATGAAATGTATCGAACTCGTCATCATGTAACCACCAGTAGGGGGTGTTGCCGGGTTCCAACACCCTTCTTTTGCATTGTAAAAAACACATTTTTTTGCGTTCTTGAAGTATGTGCACTAAGATGGCGCACAACCTGAACCCTAACCTGGTACAACTACTATGTTCAGGTTGTGCGACATCTTGGTGCACATACTTCTGGAGGTCTTATTTTTTTGTATCATACATAACAATTCTTATCAAAATAGCTTAATAAAACACTTTTTGGACCTTTAATATCATTGAAAAAAAACTATTTCCAGGACTCTGCTAGACTCGCTAGCTGTTTCAGCAAAATTTGGCAATTAGGAATTTCAGATCCCCTGTTCCAAAATTCCTGGCTGAATGAATTTGACTCGACTCTGAACTTATTCATGACTCGGGATTTCAGAGCTCTGCGCAAAACAGGGATTCATAACAAAAACATTTTCTTACAAAAGACTCCCGGCACTAATTCTTCCTTTTAATTTTATCAAAATGTTCCTTTTCTGAATATTTGATTTGATTCTTATTATTTTACCACTCATTTTACTGACATATTTATCTTTTATTCTGCTGTATTATTATTACTGTATCTGTATTCCATTTCGCTTCTGTCAATTTTTTAGTTCAATTGTTCTTTGACTGTGAACCTATTTATTACATTTAGAAAATAAGTAATTCTAATGGTTTTTTGAGTAGAATAAAATTGACAGAATTTTGCTTGCTCAACCGGAACCAAGAAAATGTTGAATAAAAGTACAAGGGTAAGTTGATTATATTTTTATACAATTTTGTCCTCAAAGCAAGGTCTCTACTTCTTAATTAAAGGTGTGACAGGAGGTAGAACAATTTTCTCTGAATTTGGATTTATAGAGGAATAACAAGTTTGTTTCAAACCAAGGTCACGGACTCCCGGGCCCTCAATTGAAATCGGAAAAAGAATATTTACCGAAGAATTGCAAATTGCAACGCCCATTTGTGGCAAGATCTATATATAGACTTATCTTTGTGCAGAGTGTCAACAGATTAAAATAATCCTGTATACACAATTTTTCAGTATCCTTATTTCCTGAAGTTTTATTCATGAACTAGTTACTTGTTGTATGTTGATAGATATTTGTCTGTTTGCCTGTGTCTGTTTGTCTGTCTGCCTGTTAGATGCTCATGATATCTCACGAAAGCGAGATTGAATCTACTCCAGATTTTGCATGTGCATGTATCATATGTCGGACCAGAAGCCTATTGATTTTGGATGAATTATGTCGTATAATTAGCGAGTTATTAATTAATTAGTGATGGGACACAATGGGTCATTATGAGGTAAGAACGCTCTTTTGGGGGATCCCCTAACTTTCGAGCGATAAGTCTTCGGTCTCTGATCGATATTCTTGTTTTTATTTTATTCATATTTACAATATCTGTTTTTTTTATGAATCAAATCTCTGACAAAAATTGTTTCATTTTTAATTTTTGAAATTGTAATCACTTTTTTTTAATAGATTGGAAGAGGCTTCCAAAAGAAAGTTGCAGGGTATGTATGTTTTTTTCTTCGAGACCTCTACTTACCTTCACTCTAGCTCTAGAGCATGGGTTCTCAAACTTTATGAAAAATTATGCATAACGGTCCCATTTCAAGTTTTCTGATGACTCGCGGTCTACTGAAAAATCAAAGCAAAAAGCAACGTGGTATATCAAGCATTTATCTATTGAATGACATTAAAACAGTTCAATGAGATGGGTGCGCCTGCTCGGCTCCCACTAGTTTTTCTACCTTGGGTTCTGTTTTGGATAACGCAACTCTCATAGTGTGTCTCACGTCCATTCTGTTTCAACATTTTGTTTTAATAGCGAGTAACGTAGAACGCTGCTCTAAGAAATGAATAGAGACAAACTTTGTATTTCTAATCAAGTTTTCTTCTGCAGAGATCATCGGATAATCAGATTCAAATGTGCAATGAACAACACAATAGCTGATGTATTGAGACAAAGACCTGGATGGGTGGAATCTAAAGAGTAAGTTTATTCATTTACGGCATTAGATACTGAGAAGTAAAAGAAACTCATCTCTCAGCAAAGTTATTGACAACCTTTGAAATGCCAAGAGCTCTTGAAAGGTTCCATTACATTTGAACCCACGTACATTTGAACCCACGACAATTGCACCTGTATACTATCGCGCCTATGAAACTTTTTTTTTGTTTTACGGATATTTGAACCCATACTAACCTTAACCCTTGGGTTTTAGCACCCGCATATAGATTAAACCCGCGAATATACACACAGGTTCAAATGTACGTGGGTTCAAAAGTAAGGGTCACCCTTTTGAAACTATGTAGAACCAAGGCAAGGATGGTTCATCGCATCTCCCTTCACACTGAAATAGATTATTTTTTATTTTACGTTACTGTTTGTATACTTTCTTATTTTCGGTATGTGGAAAAATAAATTACTGATTCTCTTCTTTATTATAAATGAGTTGTCATCCTAACACAGCATACTTGAACTTCTTAAAAACTTTTCCGTTATCTTGTGCACCGAGACTTTAATGAATATTTTGATAATTTCTTTGTATTTCTTGGCATGTCTGCGCTTGCTTATGACATAAGAGCCTTGAGTAGGTTTCCTTCAATTTTTAATTAAGCAACCATAAGAAATTAAAAACGATAATGTTCATAAACTTTTAAGTTTGAATGGAATTAAAAAAAAATTATTTTGAGAAAATGAGCAAAAATATATTTTTGTGATTTGTTAACTTCTGTAACTTTGAATATTGCTTCAAACAAGGATTACCTGCCAGCTAAGAAGAAACTTTTTTCTTTGTAATATTTCAAATGAAAATTTCCTTATTTAGTTCTATTAGGAGTTCGGGGATTGTCTGTGTTAGCCAAGTGAATATACCTACTGACTATAAGTTTCAGTCCCTTTACCCAACTAAGGCGACTAAGTAGGCGAACAAAACTAGTTACCTTTACATTCTGTGCGAGAGGATTGCTGGATGCTACTCCTCGCCGCTGTAGGGTGGTTCACGTAACTGCTGGCCTCCATATTGGTACACACACTACTGGAGCGCCAAATATTCTTACAAAGAACATTTTTATTTCCATATTTCTATCAGAGGAGAAGACTGGGATTTCTACTGGTGTGATGTCGGATGGCTGAGAGAGAATTTCGATCATATTTATATGGAAGAGCATGTCAGGATTTGCCATTTCAGGAATCATTATGAGGTTAGTATGGCTCTATGACTCTAGATTAGTAGTCACGGATATGCAAGGAGCCACGAACCACCTTTACTCTCAACAAGGCTAAAGAAAAGCAGTCACGAATATGTTACTATCAGTAGAGGTTGTGCGAGTCTCCCAATTCTGGAGACTTAAACTTATGTTAGTATATCCAAAAGTAATCTGGGCAATTTGCACAAATGTTATGTCATAACAAAAATTATTCTATGATTTTTTGTTTTTTTTGATTTCGATGTACCTATCTAAAGTCATAACACTCCAGCAAATACAATTTACAATCAAAAACCATGCTACAGTTTTAATTCGCTACAGCGAGTCTATTATGTATTTTTTGTTTTCAGTTAACAAGGAAGAATCTGATGGTGAAAAATTTGAAAAGATTAAGAAAACAGTTGGAAAGAGAGTCCAAATCAGAAGCTTTGAAGTGAGTATTCATTTTTGTCTGCCAAAACCTTCCAAAAATTTAAGATCAATTTTGACTTTGGCCCCCAACTCCAAAAAATTTGAAAAACAATCATTTGACTTCAATTTCAATAGAACATGCAAAACTCAGGACTTCACAGCACTGTTATGTAGTCATGTGTGAGAAGATCACTGGTTGACGCTCCAGAAGTGTGTGTACCAATATGAAGGACAGCAGTTACGTGAACCACCCTACGGCGGCGAGGAGTCCAGCAATCCTCTTGCACATAACCATCCTCGTTATTTGCGTTGTTATATAATTATGTGCGAAAGGATTGCTGGAATCCTCGCCGCCATAGAGTTATTATTGCTGGCCGGTTACGGTGAACACAAACAGGTCCATGGTTCCGAAAACAAATGCTAATCCCATATCCTACATGGAATGCTAACTTGACAAGAGGTCGTAGGTTGCCATATGATTAAGCCGTTTTATTGGCTTTCCTCTCCCTCTGTTTAAATATGTAATCCTATTTTATCCTAAATATTTCCATACTCAACTATGCGAAAAAACCATGGTTTGCCATATCATTAAGATATCTTGGCAGCTTACTTCTCCCTGTCATAAATGTTGTATCTCTAAAAAGAAGCACTGTATAGCTAGGGATTAGGATAGGATGAAAATATTTATCTGGGAGGAAAGAAAAGTCGATGAGACTTCTTAATCATTTGGCAAACCATATCTGGTTACCAGTCTATGGCGGGTATGTGATTAGATAGTCAGTTTGTCACATGGACTTGATGGTGGAGGAAGTGGTAACCACTAACCAATCAACGTTTACATGAACAATCCTTCAGCGGCAAGGAGTCCAGCAATTCTTTCGCATATATTTATCTCAGCATGGGATTTGAACATACGAACCAATACGATGTAATCAGAGTTGCGGTGGAAAGCATATTAACCACTTGTGTGTGCACAATGTGCCACTACAAGGGATTGAACGAAATTCACAAACTGTACCTCTTTAATTCTCAAAGGTTAAAATGAAGCTAAACCAGCAATGTTTTTTTTCAGATGTGAATTCTTCCCGACTACGTATGAGTTACCGGTGAGTATATGCGTCTGTAATTGAAAAAAATATTACTGTTTTTATGCTGTGAAAGATTTTTTTATCGATTCATTGCTTTTGCTTGAACAAATTTCCAGACCCGGCTTGGACCGACAACCGAACTAGAGGCTGTAGTTCATCACATGATTGAGCCGTATTATCCGCTTGGAATAAATATCTAAACCCTATCCTAACGTTCAAGATAGAATGTTAGTTCTATTACCAATTAGTTCTATTACGAGTGATAGCCAAGTGAATATACTCTTCCCATAGGTTTTAGTCCCTTTACACAGCTTGATGTAAAATAGGTGAACAAAATTAGTCACCTTTCTATTGGTACACAGTTGCACACACTCCTGTAGCACTGATGCTTGTGTATTAGTGGCTTCATGTACAGAGTCTTGGCTTTATCGTAATCAGTATCATACATTTCAGAGTGAATATCATATATTTGTTGAAGAATTCAAGAAAAATCCTGGAACTGTCTGGATCATGAAACCTGTGAGTAAATTACCTTGACCATTTGACAATCCCTAATTTTATGTTTTTTTCTTGTGTGAGAATGTTTCAAAGAATGCTCATGTGTATTCACCGAAAAGTAAAAAAGACTCATCTCTGGGTAAAGATACATTGCTCCAATGATATGACAACAGAAACCTGGACCATGCGAATTTGAAGTGGTGATTTACACAATTTTTTGGGTACAAATAAAATTTTGAAAGAAAATAGTAATAGTGGAAACTAAGCCACTTTAGGGCATTAGGTGTCTAGACCAGATAATCTTCTATTTGAATTACATTCCTTATTTAGATTTTTCTTATTTTTGTTCTATTTTGAGTTCGGGAACTGTCTGTGTTAATCAAGTGAATATACCCCTGCCCATAGGTTTCAATTTCCTTTACACAACTTGATGTAAAGTAGGTGAATAAAATTAGTTACCTCCATATTGGTACACATACTTCTGGAGCGCCCATGTTTCAACAAAAGCCATCATTTATGGGAAACAAATTTGACCCTTCACCACACAAAAAAGCGTGTTTAGTAATTCGCGTATCAACAACAAGCCTTTAATAACATCAATCAATTATATTACAATGCCGTACTGACGTAATTTTCATTCAAAATTCTCAGATTTCAAATCTCAAGCTTTGTTGCTTTCTCATGTTACCACAGGTTGCCAAATCACAGGGGAAAGGAATATTCTTGTTCAGAAGATTAAAGGACATTACTGATTGGAAAAAGGTGATTGCGCAATTTGGTGATTTTATTGGATAGTTTTTTATTATTTATTCTGGGAGAAGAAAACTGATGAGACAACTCAATCATTTAATGTCGCGTATTAGCCTTTCTTCAGGTTTTCAGTCTAAGGCAGGTTTGGGAAGAGCCGAACGTTGCGTATGATTGGACCGGAACTGCCAAGTGGTTGCCTTTCAGCAATTCTCCTGCACATTATCCCCCAAACAGGGTGCCGGGAATAATTTTGTCCAAAAAATGCTGTAGCAAGTCCAAGAAATATGACATTTCATACATAGAAATTTTACATAAAAAAGTTTGAAACAGTTTTTTTTTTTAAGTTTCGGCCCAATACCCTGCTTTCAACAAAATACACAAATCCCCAATTTCTGATTCTTTATTAGGAAGGCTACAGAGTGAATGGCGATGAACGAAAAGAAGAAACGAAAGACGTTGAAACTTACATTGTGCAAAGATATCTGGAAAATCCTTATTTGATTGGAGGAAGAAAATTTGATTTGAGAGTTTACGTTCTTGTGCAGTCGGTGAGTAGCTTTGGCCTCATGCAATTAGTGGTATATAAGCTCGGCAGTGTGGTGCATCATGCTGAGCGTTAGGTTCCCAAGTTCGGATCCCATGTGGAGGTGATTATGTGCGAAAGGATTGCTGGATGCCTCACTGCCGTAGGGTGCTTTACGTAACCGCTGGTCGGTTACGCTTCCTCCACCATCAAAGACATGCATCTGATAACTGGCTAATTAATCTCATACATGACATAAACTGGTAACCAGACGAGAGGCCGTGGTTTGCCATATTATTAATACGTCTTATCAGCTTTCCTCTCCCCAGGATAAATATGTAAAACCTCAATCCTATTTTTTTTTATAGTTTTCTTCTGGGAGAGAAAAGCCAATAACATGACCTAACCATATATTGAGACGTTCATGGCTTTCACTCTGAACTAGGCTTTATACAAGCAGATGCAGATATGTGAGGAATTGCTATTATTTGATAAAATTTGAAATTTTCTGGTTCGGCATTGCCTACTACTTGATTTATTACACCCCGGGTGAGATGATGAACGTGGAATTTGTATCCACCATGTTCAATCTGCGACCCTAAAGAATTAGGGTTTGTTTAGGGTTTGTATGTGAACCAAGATGGCGAACAAAGAAACGTAGAATGTGTACCGGGTTAGGGTTAGGCCATAATTTAAGGTACAAATACTACGGGAGTCACTTGGCTAGTCCCCGAACTCGTAATGAACTAAAATAAAGAAAATTGGAATAAAATTATGGCTTTAACCTGGGCTAGTACACATACAATGTTCCGGTGTCCGCCATCTTGGTTCACATATTACGGGAGTACCTAGGTCTAACGCTTTAACCATAAGGTCGTCGGGTCATAAATGCTTAATCAATTCAAAAATGCATTCACAAATAACATTTTTCCTTATTTCAGTATGTTCCTCTCAAAGCCTGGTTGTACAGAGATGGATTCGCTCGCTTCTCAAACACGAGGTTTTCATTGGATAGCATCGATGATAGTTGTATCCTTTTCAAACTATCTACCGTATATGCTCGCGAATAGGCCGAGTTTAAAACTCAAAAAAAAAGTTGCCAAACTAAGGGTCCGTCTCATTCGCGCATAACTCAGATTGCACCAAAAAATCGGCTCATTAGCGCATCAGAATTTGATCAGGCAACGAGATTATATTATGCTGACTTGCCGGTAATTCCAAAAGCTTCAAACCATACCACGTTCTCACGATAAAAAGCGACGCGCACACACCAAAATCGCTTGTGAAGGTGGAGTGTCTTATCATACAGCTGATGGCTTGTACAGTCTGTGATTGGTTGTTTAACACGTGACGCTTGTACAGTCTGTGATTGGAGATTATATTATGCTGACTTGCCGGTAATTCCAAAAGCTTCAAACCATACCAAGTTCTCATGATAAAAAGCGTGCACGCACACACCAAAATCGCTTGTGAAGGTGGAGTGTCTTATCATAAAGCTGATGGCTTGTACAGTCTGTGATTGGTTGTTTAACACGTGACGCTTGTACAGTCTGTGATTGGTTTGTTTTCGCTCGCTTGTGCAACAGTGTCGATTTACGGCCAGTAATTTTTTCTCCTTGACAAATATAATTTATGGAAACTCAGATGTTCATCTCACAAATGTTGCAATTCAGAAGACAGCTCCAGACTATGACCCGGAGAAGGTATGAGTGTTTACTAGAAGCGAGAAACCAATACTGGGTATCAAGCACCGACACTCGTGATTAGGTGTAACAGTAATCAGGAGACAGAAAGGCGCTCCCGAAGTATGTGTACCAAGATGACGCACAACCTGAACCCTAACCTGGTACACATACTATGTTCAGGTTGTGCGCCATCTTGGTGCACATACTTCGGGAGCTCCGAAAGAAAAATATCAAACATTGTATTATTAAACAGCAACAATAGTTTACAGCCAAGGCTTCTTTGGAATGAGTTTTACATCTAATCTGTTTTATTTACTTCAGGGTTGCAAATGGTCTTTACAACAACTTCGAACTTACCTAACTGCTAAACATGGGCATGAAGCGGTAATTTACTTTTCTTGCTTTTTGTATTGAATTTTTCAATTTTAATTAGTTTATCATAGAAATTATCTCAGAAAAGGCAGACAAAATCCAACATTATCACCATCTAAACCAGGGCTTCCCAAATTTTTTTGGGTCGTGAACTCCTGTATGTGAATCTTATTTTTGGCAGACCCCCATCCTATGCCGTATCAATGTATATGCCTAACCAACGAGTATATTTCTATCAACATAAAAAAAGTCATGAAATTTTGAAAAAATACATGCTGACGTTGGATACTGGCAGGCCACCGGCAATTCGATAAGTTAATGATCTATTTGTATATGTTTAGGACTCTTTCTATATTGTTGCGGACCCCTGTGCAGTCACCACGGACCCTGGTTTGGGGAACCCTGATCTAAACCATTTCAATGATTTTGCAACTATAAATACCCGCATGCCTTACTCGGAGGCAAATTTTTTTTGACTCAAATTTTATCCATCGTACACTTTATTTTTTGTTCACAGGTAGAGAATGTTTTCAGACAAATGAACGAAATTTTCATCAAAACTTTACAAAGTGTTCAGAAGAATATAATCAATGATAAACATTGTTTTGAGTTGTATGGCTATGATATCTTACTCGACTCTTATTTGAAACTGTAAGTGTTTTTATTTAGGCAGAATCTACTACAGGGAGTCCTTGGGTTACGACGGTCGCGCCTCTCGCTGTTTCGAGGTTACGAATGCGCACTCCATAACGCTGTTTCCAGGTTACAAACGCGCACTCCATAACGCTGTTTCGAGGTTACGAACGCACTTCATAAAAAATATAAAAGATAATACTGCACTGTACAGAATTTGCTTTTATTCATGTGATATGAAATTGTTTTCTGTTTTTTTATTAAAGTACTTTTTTGCATTATTTGTACATTTAATTACAGTACCATACTTCACAATACAGTACCATGTGTGTAGAGTAATTTATGTACTGTACAGTATAATGTTCCGACTTACACTGAAATTTGGGTTACACCGCGTCTCGAGAACGGAACAACGTCGTAAGTCGATGACTCCCTGTATTTATTTTTTGCAATATAGTAATGGCACTGGGAAAATACTGTCAAAATACACCAATAACCCTGCTAAAACGCTTAAAAACAGTGAAAAACCGTCAAAAAACACCAATAACCCTGCTAAAACGCTTAAAAACAGTGAAAAACCGTCTGACTGGGTACACCCAGGGTGGGGTTGCGGGTCGGAACCCCTTTTTTTTGGAATGTAAAAAAGCATTTATCTGTATCATACATGTCTATTTTAGACCCCAACGACTGTTGGAATCCCATGTTTTCCGACCTGCTAGCTGTTACAGTTTAACTTGGCAATTAGAAATTTTAGAACCCCCCCTTTAAAAAATTCCTGAGTACGTCCCTGTAATGCCATTTCCTCCGATAATAGAGGGAAATTGTTTGGCGAAAACAGGACACAGGTTCCAAAACCTTTCAAGCTTGTGATGTCATCACTTTCTGTTATGCAAGTAACGATGCATTCAAAGAAAAAACTTTCACGAATCGTGAATTTGCTGCCACATAATTCTGTTTACAATATCTAATATCGAAATAATTGAAAATAGGATTTTAAACGCTTGGTTCCAAATTACTTAGAAACGATTACAATGAGTCTGTCTGTTAATTTTTAGGGACAGATGTTATGTATGGCGAGGTTTTGTTTGCTCTCCTGGTTCTATCATCATACTTTCCTATCTTTCCAGGTGGCTTCTTGAAGTGAATGCGTCACCATCTCTCACAGCCAGTAACCAGGAAGATTATGATTTGAAGTTCGGACTTTTAGAAGACACTATCAATATTATTGACATGGAAGGAAGGTGAATTACAATTTTTATTATGGCAAACCCATTGAACTGTATGGCGGCTTGATTGTTTTAATTGTGCACTAAAACAGAGCACACTCGTAAAAGGTTGTAAATATTCCTGAGTGAGTCTGAGTGACTTTCCTTTGAGCAAATTCTCTCCGTATTGAGTAATTTCATAGTTAATTACTTTGTGTTAAATAGATTTATCGGTACAACTGAAGTATGTGAACCAAGATGGCAGACTCTGGAACGTAGTATGTGTACCAGGTTGGGCCATGATTTCAGGTACCGTACATATACTACGGGAGTCACTTGGATAGTTCCTTAATTCATTTGGTTAGTCCCCGAATTCGTAATAGAACTAAAATAGGGAAAATTGGAACATAATTATGGCTTAACCCTAACCTGGTACACATACTACATTCCGAGTCCTCCATCTTGGTTCACATACTTCTAGAGTGCTGATTAAGCTGTTATGCTCTGGGTGAGGGCACTAATAACCAAACACACTCGCATTTAGAAAGCTGTAAAGCGTTTACTCCAACCAGTCCCGTGCCTCACTATCAGTCTTGCAATTCACGAATGAAAGTGAACACGCGAATTCTCAAATAATAATGGTAATCCGATGAAAGACAATGGTTTGTCATATGATTAAGTTATCTGGTAATCCCGTGTGTGTACCAGGTTAGGGTTAGATAAATTTTATTCTGATTTTCCTTTTTTTAGTTCTATTACGCATTCGGGGACTGCCTGTGTTAGCCAAGTGTATATACCCCTTGCCTATAGGTTTCAGTCCCTTTACTCAACTTGATGTAAAATAGGCGAACAAAATTAGTTACCTCCATATCGGTACACATATTTATGGAGCGCCAGCTATTTTACCTTCCTTGGATTAATTTTTATGTGGTGCTTATTCCAGTCATTCTCTCTGAACAAAGCCATGTATAAGCAGTAACTGATGATTTATGGCACCCTGAGTGAGGTGATGAACTTGGAATTTGAACCCGAGATGTGTAATCTACGATGCCAACACAGTTAAGTCTAACACCTTAACCACTATGCTCATAAATATCTGAATATTTCTTCTTCCGTTCTTTCAGATTCACTGGTAAAGAGAAAAGAGCTGGAGGTTTTGATTTGATGTGGAATGATGGTCCTGTGTATGCAGATGAAGGGGGAATGGACAGCATGGGTGGCCCTGCGTATGCTACAAATACTTTCTTAGGTTAGTCACTGTTGCAATATCGATTTGAAATGAGCATTTACTCAGAGACATAAGCACTAGATTGTCAGATATAGTCACTTCTGAGGGGTTTACGTAGGGATGATTATGCCTTAAAAAATTTCGGAACTTCTGGATTTTACTATTTGACTAAAAGCGGAGTGGGAGACCTTACTCACGGGTGAAAACGAATGACACTCGGCAGTTGAATTAGGTATGGGATTCGTCGTCCATCGCTGTCTATCCTGCTCGCATATACAGGCTCGAATTCTGTAGGGCAGGGGTAAGCAACCTTTTGTCGCTCGCGGGCCAAAATTGAAAGTTGCAAGTCATTGGCGGGCCACACTTATTTTTAGAATGTTAAAAATTGCCGATGAATCACATTTTATCACAAAGATCAGAAGTTTAAGCAGAGCGCGAAGACTGACCATTTGAATATTTTTTGCGCCATCAAACCATTTGCACTTAGCATCAACTTTTCTGCGTTTTGTTGTCATTTGTTTAAATAATAATTAAATTATAGGCTCATTAAACGAGTAATTGTGAATTACATACTTGTTACGTTATAATATAATTTAGTCTACACGTAAATTCTTTTGCGTAAAGAATATAATCGACAAAACAGCTATAATTTATTACTATAATTCAGTGAAGGTCGCGGGCCGGATTATATTGCTCCGCGGGCCGTAGGTTGCCAATCCCTGCTGTAGGGGATGATCATGCCCAGCAGGATTGCGAAGCTTCCGTCTACCGAAAAAAAAACTAAAAATTTTTTTCCAATACATGATGTAACTTTACTTAAAGAAAGCAGTCAACATTCATCCAATTTTCATCTTATGCAGTTCAGATCTCTAATGGTTTTCAGATGCAGAATGCATCTTGGAACAATATTTTTATTAAGCTTTTCACATCGCTGCTCCTAAGACGTTGGGGAACTACAGTCTCACAAACAAAAATTATCCAACGTGATATACCAGAGTTGAACACAAGCTGTACCATTGTTGTATAAAATTCTCAAACAATTAATTTCTTTTAGGTTGCCACAATGACAGAAAACGTCAGTTGGTTCAACTCTTCAGATCCTTGCAGTCAAAGAAAGCAACATCAGTTTCATGAACAACGCACCTTACCAACAGACTGTGATACCAGCATGCCACAAAGACGATATTAAATATTATTGGCAATTCATAGGTTGACTGTTCTTGTAGATGATGTTTCAAGCAAACTTTCATAAAAAATTTTGGTGCTCCCAAAGTGTGTGCACCAAGATGGCGCACAACCTGAACATAGTATGTGTACCAGGTTAGGGTTCAGGTTGTGCGACATCTTGGTACACATACTATGGAAGCGCCAACATTTCAATCTAAAAATAATGTTACCATTTAAAGGGGATTTATCCCAACTTTGTGGCACAGAGCGGGATATCTGATCAAAAGGTCAGGTCGCAATGCTGCCATTCATTCATGAGTTAGTTATGCATCAGATTTTTTACTGTTTACTTTTTCACATTTCATGTTTTGTTATGTTTTTTAAAAATAAAGTTTATAATTTGGTATATTTATGGTTTTAAATCAGGATATTAGTTTCGAATTGATAGTAAATCTAGAGAGAGCATTCTCAGCTTTGGCAAATAAATGCAAGTATAGATAATTATAAATAAACTATAAAATATACTTATACCTATACTAATTCAAGTTCGCGATCAAGATTTAATCAGAAAGAAATGACAAACCTTGATTTTGTCAGAATTGAATTTTATGAAATTTGATATCAAGCACTTTGGTTTGATTCTTAAATAGTTTGGCACAATGGGCTGCGTGAATTGAGTAAAATTTCCTCGTTCCAAAATACTTGAGAGTATGTCATCCCTACATTTCTATAGGACTAGCGGTTACTTGAACCACCCTACTGCAGCGTGAAGTCCCGCAATCACACATAACGAGATGCGAACCTGCGAACCCACGCAGGGTAATCGGAGGTCTAGTGTTATAGCTCAGGGTGGTCCAAGGCCGCAAAAGCTTTGGAGGAGGTCTCGTGGGCCGCAGTCGAAGAAAACCCAAACGTGATCAAAACATCGCGAGTTTACTCGCTTTGAATATATTTGGGAATGCTAGTTTATCCAATGACATTAAACAACATGATGCGCAACTCCGGCATTTTTGTCCGAAGATCGTATTCGATAGCACGCTCCAATGCACATACTTGACGAGACGAAAACGAGCGGATGTGTGCTGCTTTCAAGGCATAGCACGAATGGTGTTCGTGCCTGCTTTGACAGTTGTTGTCGATTTTAATGATATTTTTGAAAGTTGGGGTAAAAAGAAATCGGTAAAAGGTAAGGTGAATACTATTGCTGTATATCACACCAATGACATTAAACAACATGATAGGCAACTCTGACGTCACTCCATAAGACTACAGGCAAAACATTGTATTTCATGATACGCTCCAATGCACATATTTCTCGTCGCCTTTCGCGTCCGTTTTCCGCTCGCTTTTGCTACTCGACGTCTTTTTTACGTGTAGTACCTGCCTTTTTGCGCCTGTAACGAAACAAAATAATCTCTATATCTAAGAAGTTTTGCTTACTTGGAAAGCTGGAATAACAGGCAAGCTGTAAAGAGCAATTCTGGACATCATAGACGTTTTTTTCTTATCAGAGAAGATTACAAACGCGATAGCGGAAAGATTTGTGTGGAACATTTTGCAGATAATGACAAAGTTCAAAGTTAGTAATTTTAATGTTTGCGCTTAATCATTGAAATTTCATTTAAAGAGGGTGTCATACAAAACTGTGCTGCGATACAATTCCATAACACAAAGTTTGCACCTATCGAACTTGCTTTTGTAGGTGAATTTATTAGACATATTACATATTCAGTTAATCGTAGGTAACATTGCTGGTACATAATGCATCGTAGATAGGTTTGTTTAAATTTAGGAATTTAGCTCATAGCCCACTAATTAATATTATCTTCTATGCAGGAGGTTGCAGGGCTGAATTCAACTTGCAGCCTTACCGATCACCTGACGATGCTCATTTAGTTTGGCTCGAGCAAGTCTTCTTGAAATGCTTGTGTGGATGGAAACTACCTATATTTTTTGCCTTCCTCCGATTTTAGACAAATTTATTCTGAGGGATTTCGCATATAATTCTCACTGATTGTTGGCTGTTTATAATTCCTATTGATTGTGAATTCTGATTATAACAATGAGTTGAAAATTTTTTTACCTAATTTACTGGCACCTTTTTCTTGTCAATACTCCAAGCTGAGGTAATAAACATGACAATACATTTATGTCATCTGGAAGCAAAATATGCACACTAATTAATAGTTTGGCACATTGAGATAATACATCATGACAGAAAATACAAGTTAAAGATATGTATGACCATCACATGGTAATTAAAATTAAAAAAAATTAATAGGGGCTGTGGAGTATGGAAAGTTCAAGACAAAGAAAAGAACAAATGTTCATAGCTCATGAACTCTCAATTTTGCCTCCATTGCTTTGTGAAGGCCAATATATTTCGAGTGGCTGAATTGGTTTACCTTTATGATAGCAACGATTTTGTATTTAATATAGCGAGATTATTTCAATTTAATTGAAGTGATATAATTTCCCAAAGCAATGCTTGAATCGTCTAGAATAGATCAGTGGTGTCAAACTCATGGGTTTTCGAGAGCCGCATTGCATTTTGAAAATTGTAAAAAGAGCCGAAAACAGTTTTTGATAATGTATACTTAAAAGATATTTTTAAGATAGTTTTAGTTTGTGACATATATTGTGATGCAACTAAACAGTTGGATTAAGTTTTATTATTTTCTTCAATTTCAAATGCAATTACATATTAATATTTGCATTCCACTATTATTGCAACATTTGCAAGTTACAGTATTTATTATAAAAAATCGTAAAATTCTATGTACAACCATCAAAATCATTTTTGAACAAGCTTTGAATAAGGAAAGAATAATACATACACTAAAAATAACTTAATCTAAATATATGAACCTAAAATTAACAAAATACTACAGTATAAACTCAATGTTTTATTAATTACAGTTGTCCTGGCGTTTGGCATCTTTTTTGTGTCACCAGCATACTAAGGCCAGTCTGAAATGATTTTATAGTACCAACTCTAACTAACGAGGCCACATGATCATGGGTTTATCTGGATCTTTACGAATGTTTAATTAATTCCAGTAATGCAAAAAAGTTACTTTTATCATTTCATGTATAGATCAGTAAAAAAACAAATGACAGATTTTTTCGACAAGACATTTCGCACTACATTGCGTGGCATAGGATTGCTTGAATTATTATTGATATTGATTTTTAGTAACTAAGTCGTTGTATAATTATATTAATATACAAACACATGGAAATTTTCTGTTCGAAGTTGGTCTTCGAATTTGTCATATTGACTGCTGAGCTTATTGTGTTTTTTGATTGTATTGATGGAAATATGACAAATTAAACAATGTGCTTCAGAATTTTGTGAAAAGCAGAAATGTTACAACTCCCATTTTCTTCGAAAATGCCACCTTCTTCATGTACTTTGCGTTTAATTTAATTACTCAAGTGTTTTATTCAAGTATTCTTTTGCTAGCTTGATGTGTATTCTTAATTGGGTCAAAATGTGGACGAAAAAAATTATTATTCCAAAACTACTTTCAGTAAATTGTTTTCTGTGTGAATAATCAATTTCACTTTAGAAGGTTTGAAAAATCTATTACATGGTAGATAAATAAAAAAAACTTCCAAAATACTATTACAATTATTGTTAAGCGTTCGAGGGCCGCACTGGAAGTTCTCTGGGGCCGCGAGTTTGAGATCTCTGGTCTAGATTGAAGTTGTTCAAAAAATATATGATAGTATTTTATCATGAATGATGATTATACCCCTTCCGGAATTTCTTCTATAGTACTACCAAAAGTTGATGAACCAAATATAACACAGGTGCAGTGAGGTACCCGTAATCCTCATTTCCAAAGCTGTTTTAAGTATGTCTGGCGTGTTTTGTGCCTTTTTACAAATAAGACCGCTTATGCAATCTTACGCTTTGGAATTTTTAGTTATTTTCCTCAAGCCCTGCAAGATGTGGGGGCCATACACAACTCTACCGGAGGGTCAAATGTCTTTGCATGCCTCCATAGGTTGTTTTTCTATTGCAAATTTCTATTTTCAATTGCATTATATTTCTTGGAATCACACTGTCACTGATATGTCGCCAGACTTCTGATATCTCCCCGTCTGCTATAGTTGTCCTGTGAATAAATAATAGGAAATTGAGATTAGACGAATAGTTGAAAGTTTTGCTTTATGTCGGCTTAATTTCTTGATTGATATACTTACTATTTCTGCTATTGCCTCTTGTGCTGCAAGAGTCTCACAATGCTTAACAGGTTTGTCCACAACTTTCACATCTGAAGAAAGAGAGGAGATTTATTAATTTTCGTTAAGAATAAATAAAGCAGTCTATATGATTCAGAATGGAAAAGCTAATAAATCCAATATCTCATGTTTTATTTAAAAAATATATTACTGAATTTGGTATATAAACCAACTAATAAAAGGGTTTAGTCAGAAAATTACAAGCATTCGTGGCTCCAAATACTTGAGAAATCAGACTATACAATATAGACCGGTATGAGTGAAATGTTAGGTGAACTTGTTAACACTTTGATTCAATACGCAAATAAAAGTGAATGCGTAATAGTATGTTACAATGAGCAGCAATCAACAATGAGTATATATCCTCACTGATTAAAAAAATCTAACTGGAGGTGCATGAACTATTTGAAACCATAAGGGGTAAGTAAATATGTAATTTCGGCAAATGGGCAACTACGTACCGTACTGAATTAATACCTTCGTAGTATTTGACAAAGGCTGGCTTTCCCACATGTACTTAACAGTGCGATGCCCGGGTGTGATCAATGACATTAAACAACATGATGCGCAACTACGGCATTTTTGGCCGAGGATCGTATCCGATAGCACGCTCCAATGCACATACTTGACGAGACGAAAACGAGCGGATGTGTGCTGCTTTTAAGGCATAGCCCGAATGGTGTTCGTGCCTGCTTTGACAGTTGTTGTCGATTTTAATGATATTTTGGAAAGTTGAGGTAAAAAGAAATCGGAAAAAGGTAAGGTAAATACTATTGTTGTATATCACACCCGGGCATCGCACTGTTAAGAACATGTGGGAAAGCCAGCTTTTGTCATATACTACGAAGTTATTAATTCAGTACGGTACGTAGTTGCCCATTTGCCGAAATTGCATATTTACTTACCCCTTATGGTTTCAAATAGTTCATGCACCTCCATTTAGATATTTTTTAATCAGTGAGGATTGAATCAAAGGGTTAACAAGTTCACCTAACATTTCACTCATACCGGTCTATATTGTATAGTCTGATCTCGCAAGTATATGGAGCCACGAATGCTTGTAATTTTCTGACTAAACCCCTTTATTAGTTGGTTTATATACCAAATTCAGTAAAACATTTTTTACATTAAACATGATTTATTGGAT